AAGTGGATTTAAAAATGACAGGCTACAAGAATGATATGGAAAAAGATGCTACACTGGACTTGCAAAAGAAACCAGCTGATGTCTTAATAATTAAAAGGGATATACAAATAAGTCAAGAGAGTGACCTGGATAATTTTCCTATATTGGATTTACAAAAGAGGCTTGTTTAAGTTTTTTAGAATTTTGTGAGAAGGGGCAAAGAAAAAATGAAAAGAAATCAAGTTCTAGGACATTATTTGAAGGGACTAAAGATCAAGATTGTTAAAAGCAAAAGAAAGGAATTAAGTTTGGTTTATTTGATCAAGGTTAAAATAGATATGTTGTTATCTCTGGTAACCCTTAATGGACTTTTGCTGACATCAGGACTGAAATGACAAGGTTTTAAGGATTTGTTTATAGTTAAGAGATGGGATATGGGAAGAAGAGATCATTTGTTGTATTTTAAGAGAAGGTGATAAGTTACTAAAATTGTTTATACTTGTGATGAAAGGGGAAGTCATTTCTTTATATATTTCTTTTTTTTTCTTTACTGTATCCTTATTTTTTCTTTCTTTTCTGTGGTGATAAGTTACTAAAATTGTTTATACTTGTGATGAAAGGGGAAGTCATTTCTTTATATATTTCTTTTTTTTTCTTTACTGTATCCTTATTTTTTCTTTCTTTTCTGTTTTTCCTTTCTATTTTTTTCTTTTCTCCACCTTCTATTTTTTCTTTTTATCCTTTGTTTTTTTTACTTTGTATTAGTTTTTATCTTTGTACTTGTAACTTGTAATTACTATTAAAAGTGACAATCAGTGCCTTGAATTGCAGCCAGAAGCCTACTGGGAGCCAATGCAGCTCACATAACAGTAGTGTTACATGGGCATAATGCGATTCACCCAAAACTGCACGTATTGTAGCACAGTACCTTCCATCAGTTTGCCCACCCCAGCCTTCCCTGGACCTTCTCTGTCTCTTCTCAGTTGCCATTGCCATCACCAGGCATCTTTTGATTCACCATCCAAAACCAGCTGTTCTGTGCATGGAATTGTTGATGCACAAAATATTTTCACATATCTGTTCCTGAGTGAAAAAAAAATGCTGATAATTAATAAGCATTGGAATAAATTCTCGCAGAACAGAAAATTATTAGGCTGTCTTATACACAGAGAGAGAGAGAGTTTACATAAACATGCAATGAGAATATTCAGACGGTATTTGCCAAATGAATATTTTCTAAAATAAGATGAACAAATCAGTGAATGGACTCACACAGAAAAAGAATTTGAGGAGCAGTTCTTTATTAAAGCCATTTCAAAGGCTTTACTTTTATAAAGGAATAAATGGAAAGTGGCTAGAAGTCAATTATACTGCAAGACAAGGGAATTAGAAACAGGCTGAGGGAAGACAGAGTGACTACTGAGAAGGAGAATTAATTATTTTGAGCTCATTTTCTAATAGAAAGCAGTACAGGTTTATTAAATGTTATATATTGTGTGGAGAGAAGTAAAGGCCTGGGGAGAATACAGGAGGAAAAAATATATTCCCCTCCTCTCCCCTCATCCCCACCCCATCCCCTTGAATTAATGTATTAATGGTTAAGAGAAAAAATTCTATCCAGTTTCTCCAATTTTTTAGAACCAGAACTTAGATCTTCAGTGCAGCTGAGGGCTTCTCCAGTTGTTTGAGCGATTTACGACAGGATTAGACAATGGTCATTAGCTTTAAATGAAGGGTTTAAATGGAGATTAGATATTAGACTATTAGATATTAAATATTGTAATGGTGGTAAATAACAATTTTGCAAGATGACATCATAGATAAATTGAGCCAACCCCATTCTTAGAAAAGGCAGTTTTAAATACAGGTGTGCAAAATGTTTCAAACTCTAAATGCTTTGAGCTTGAAATAACATTTCTGTTTGAATTAAGCTCTTGTGACCTTACTGGAAGTGTTTGAAGCACAAAACACCTCAGTTTTGAGGTTGAAATGAGGTCATTGTAAGGTCTGAATACTTCTGAAACGGTTGGAAAATTGTTTTGAACTTAAATCAGGATATTTTGAGGTTGAAACATTTTGATTTTGAACTGCTTTATGCACCTGTCATTTTAAGTATACTTGTTTGGAATCAAGTCACACTGAGCTGAACTGGGCTTCTTTGTAGTGAGTATGCATTAGGGTGGCGTCCTGAAGGAATATATGGGATTTCTTGCATTGTAAGCATCTGCACTATTGCTGGATTTTTTGCAACTTGAATTCATTAGCTCTAGTCTGCTAAAAATAAGATCAGGCTGATCTTCCAGAGTCATCCATCAAATGGAACTGTCCCTGGGGCTCTAACAAATAGATGAGGCATCTGAAGGTTGCTATCCTATGCACACGCCATGCATCAGCATGCTTTTGTTTGCCGGCACCAAAACTGCAGTTGTGTTCTTTCCATTAATTGGTTTTTGGAACTGTCTTGATCTTTGGCCTCCAAGTGAGGTGATAGTTCTGCCTCTTTCTTAGGAAGCTCAGAGGTTGTAGGCCAGTGGGGCTGGAAGCAGTTTTTATGTGTGAACCAGACTACATGTTAGTTAAGCTAGGCTAGATGGATGGAGGAAGAACACAACCCTACTGTGTATTTTCAGTCCATTTCTTAAAGGTTCTCTGACATGGCATTCGTAACACTTGGAAATGGTACCATCAGGATTGATTTTTGGATTCTGCCCAGGTGCAGAATTTTGTAATGCTTGTGGAATTTGGAATGCTTGGAATAATTATGTTATTAGAAACCTAGGTTTCTAATTTGACCTAAATGAACTTTAGCTGAATAAAAAAATCATGGTAGGCTTTACAGTGAATTAACAAAGAAAATGTTTGCCACAATCTAACCCTTATTTCTTTGAGGTTGGCCACAGCCGCCTTCTACTATGCTTCTGACATTCTTTGTTTCTGGTTGTAATCCATTCTTTTTCCAACATGTAAGGATCAAGTCAAGAACTCAGTCTGGGTTCTCCTGCTCCTCTGGGATCAAACTGTAGTGAGTCAAATTCTTGTTTTGTTTTTTTTTAAGAGGCCAAGCTAGACCCTTTTTTTTCTCTGCCAAAAAGGAAGGCTTATCTAAACTTTGAGCCTTTCATGACAAATTAAACTGTCCTTAGTTCAGCCTTTTTTAATAACTTGTCAGTCTTGTCAGAATTATGAGGCAGTGCTTTCCTCTCTGAGGCAGCAAGTTCATATACAGTGAGCAATACTGATAAAACATTTTAAGTACTTGAAACACCAATAACAAATATTTAGGAACCAGCTCTATACAGATATATGGAATAAAAAATTATGTGGATAATCTGAACAAAAATGTTAGGACTGTTCAGGGCTGATTATAGATTTTGCACCAGAATTAATAAAAAATTCTGTAATTAGGAATTGTAGATTCTGTAAAATAAGTGAAAATAATTGGGAACTGCAATAGAAAGCCCACTCCTTGGCCCAGTCACAGTAAAAATACAGAATTCCATTACCACTGTGCCAGTACAGTCTTCACTGAGCCGATTTTGTTTTGTTTTTTGTTTTTATTTTCTGTCTCTCAATATTTTTATTCCAAAAGTGTGACCTTGGTTTTTTTCGGGGGGGGGGGAGATTTCTTTCTTGGACATACCTACTTTAAAGGAAATCCCACTGATTTCAAACTTTAATTACATGAAAGGAGTAAATACATGCTCACGCATTTTGACCAATTCATTTTGCTTCCATGTATTCAGAAAATTTAGTTAGTTTAACTAAAGCCTCCAAAACATCTTAAGTAAACCAAAAGACCCAGTAGCCTAAGAAGAAAAAACAGGAGTCATTTACAACATACAGTATAAGCACTGTAACAACCACTATGTAGGACAGACAGGCAGAAGAGTAGCAGAGCGCCAGCTAGCAGTCAGAAGACATGATGAAAACTCCTTAATTTCACAACACATGGACAGACTTAACCATAGTTTCAGCTGGGAAACTGTCAGGATTTTAGACCAAGCTAAATCCAAAAACCTGGAATTCCTGGAAATTTGGTATTCAGACAAGTCAGCCATCAACAGGCACATACAGATAAACAACATTTACATACTATTCAAAAGAGACAATACAAAGGAAAACAAA